TATATATATATATATATTTATTCAGTGAGTGCGAAAGGACATTTAACAAAACATCCAGTATTGGTTTTTATACACGGTGAGTCCTATGACTGGAACTCAGGGAATCCTTACGACGGTTCTGTTCTTGCCAGTTACGCGGATTTAGTCGTTGTAACGCTCAACTACAGATTAGGAATTTTAGGTTTTTTGAATGCAAATGTCGCCCCTCATTTAAAAGCGAGAGTCGCAAATTATGGTCTGATGGATCAAATAGCGGCTCTGCATTGGATTCAACAGAACATTGGACTTTTTGGGGGGGATCCTCAAAATGTAACCTTGTTGGGTCACGGAACGGGAGCTGCTTGCATTCATTTCCTTATGATTTCTCCAACCGTCATGCCAGGTGAAATTTATTTTTTTAAATTATTTAAAATATCGATTTTCGGATTTTCGATTGATAATTTTGTTTTTTTTTTTTTTTTTTTTTTTAGGTTTATTTCACAGATCCATCCTTTTGTCTGGCAGTGCTTTGTCGAGTTGGGCTTTGGTCGAAGATCCCGTTTCTTTTGCCACGAAACTCGCTCGACAAGTTAACTGTAGTTTACCCGAGGATCTTTTAAAAGAACACGAAAAAATAGTTGATTGTTTAAGGGATGTGCCATTGGCGGATTTGCAAAAAGCCGACGTTGTTGCTCCGACTTATTTAAGCACGTTCGGACCGAGCGTTGATGGTGTCGTCATTAAAACAGATTTTCAAAAGGATATGTTGACTTATTTCGTACCTGGAGAACCAATATTTACCTATACAGGTTTTTTAATTTAAATAAAAAATTTATATAACATGGTAAATAAAGTTTTCTTTAAATGAAAAAAAACGAATGATTTTATTAGGACCGGGAATGTCGAAAAATAAAAGGAGCGAAGCTTCAATGTTAGGAATACCCACGACGGGTACCAATCGTTACGATTTACTATTCGGAGTCGTTACAAGCGAAGCATTGTTTAAATTCAGTGCAGCCGATGTGTCGAACGGTTTCGAAGGTGAACGTAGGGACAAAATTATCAGAACATACGTTCGTAATGCTTACACGTATCATCTCAGTGAAATTTTTTACACGGTAGTCAATGAATATACAGATTGGGAGAGAACTGTGATGCATCCCATTAACACGAGGGATGCTGCCATTGCTGCCTTAGGTATATGAATACATTATTATTATTATTATTATTAAATCAAACGAAACGTGTCGAAAATGAAAATTTTATTTTATGCGTTTAAATTACAGGTGACGCCCAATTTGTGGCTCCTCTAATAAGAACGGGGGATTTACTCAGTTCTAGGGGAGCTGTTAACAGTGGAGGTCCTGGGACTAAAACTTGGTTTTACGTTTTCGATTATCAGACCAAAGATGGAGATTATCCACAAGTAATTAAATGTTTTATTATTATTATTTTTTATGTGAATAATTATCATTATTACATGAAATATTTTTATTTTATTTAGAGAATGGGAACAGCTCATGGTGAAGAATTACCCTACGTTTTCGGTGCTCCACTCATAGATGGTTTTAATCATTTTCCAAGAAATTATACAAAATCCGAAGTTACCTTATCAGAAGCTGTTATCATTTACATAAGCAACTTTGTTAGAACGGGGTAAGAAATTTTTTTGGACTCAAAAAAAACCTCAATAAAATTTTTTTTCATTTTTTTTTGTTTTTTTTTGTTTTTTTTTTTTTGTTAGAAATCCAAACGATCATCAAAGAACTGACGGAAATTGGAACACAAGAGAAAGAAGCAGATTTCGTAATATTGTTTGGGATGAATATGATAGCGTTCATCAAAAATATTTAGAAATGGGTAAGTTTATTACATAAAAAAAAAACAATAAAATTTTTTTTTTTTTTATTTAAAACTTGAACTTAAATTTACGTCAATGACAGAAAACAGTAAACAAAAGCCACCACCAACAGAGAGAGAAAGAGAAAGAGAAAGAGAGATGGAAAATCTTAGACAAATAAATCCTTTTTAAATTTAATGAAAGGAAACAAGAGAAAAAGGTTTTTCCGGTCTCCTCTGCGCCTTTTCAAATTCTCTTAAAAATGAACATTTTAAAATTTAAAATAAAATAAAAGAAAAAAAAAATTAAAATACATTAATTATGTTAAATATATATAAAATATATATATTATAAAATATAACTTACATAAATTTACGTTAAATGCATTTGTATTTAATTATTATTATTATTAATATTTTTTTATTTTTTTTTAGGTATGAAACCAAGAATGAAAAATCATTTCAGAGCTCATCAACTTTCAGTTTGGCTTAGATTAATTCCAGAACTTCATAGAGCCGGAATGGAAGATGTCGTGGCTCGTCATAACCTTTTTAGAAATCACAACGATAGGGATTTATATGATGGAGTCGTTCGACCGGATCCACTTTCTAGAACAAATTACGGATTTTATTACAATTCTGATAAAAATCAAGATTATTTATATGCCAACGCAGGAGTGAGTTTTTAAGACTTTTTTTTTTTTTTTTTTTTTTTTTTTTACGTATAATAATAATAATAATAATAATAAAACAAATGAATTTTCTTTTATGTATAGGTTCTTGCCAACACCGGAAGAAGACATCATCACGGTGGAAATGATTCTTTCGGAGGTCAAACGGTCACAACTCCAGAAACTTTAATAACGACTTGCGTATCAGTTATTAATTCTTATCCATCGGGTTCACATCATTTGGGGGGACATCAAAATAATTCTGATCCATTGGCTAATCTGGAAGCAGCGGGTAACGTAAATGTTTTTACATACGTTGATGTAATTGTGCCTGACTTAAGACAATTAATTAAGGTTTGAAATTTTAGGTTACGCCGCATATTCTACAGCCCTAAGCGTAACAATCGCAATCGGATGCAGCCTTTTGATTTTAAACGTTTTAATATTTGCCGGAGTTTACTATCAGAGGGATAAAACAAGACTGGAAGTTAAAAATTTACAACAAACTCAAAGAGGAAGCGTAAATTACGACGTTAAACCCGGACACTACGACATAGGTAAACCGGAAGCCAAATTATTTTTAAAAAATTTTAAATTTCTTTAAAATATTGTTGAACCAGCTTTTCTTTAGCAAGCGGAGGAAGCATTATTGTAGACCTCGAAAGAGACACGGCTGACATGATTTTATGTCAGAGTCAACAACGTGACAGAGGAAACATATTACTTTGTCAAACTCAATCCCGATTTTCCGCCGCACCATCATCGTTACCGAGAGCAAGTCCGAATTCTTGTCCTGCATCCGGTACAATGACCGCGACAAAAAAATCAACTCCCGACATTTCTAGAAATAATATCGATTTAGTTATAAGAAATCAAGATTGTCGTAATCCTGACATACTTAAAAATAATGTCACAATTAATTCAGCTGGTAGGTAGAGAGGGATGATGATTTTATTATTTATTTTAAATAAGTTTAATTGAGGAAGGAAATATTTTCAGGTATAATTATGGATCACGGTAAAAAAACGGAAATAAATCATTTACCGACATTAAAATCCTCAAATATTTCACATACGGCAACATTACCTAAAAATATGACATTTTGTAATAATGTTGCGTCAACTAACGACAAAGTAAGAATGATTTCTTATTTTTATATCACTTGATTTCCGGTTTTTGATTTCACAAACGTTCGCATAATTTTTTTTCAGATTGTTACGTCATCATTACACATGAGTTTACCGAGACCTCCACATCCTCCGGTTCGAAGTCCCCCGGAAAATCAACCTCTATTACCTCCGAAACAAA